TTCGTGGGCTCCACACCCAACGGGAGCACCGTTTGCGGTTTGGCGTATACGCTAACGTCGGCGACGTCCTTCCACCTCGCAACGCAACCTGTCGCTGCGAGCTTAGCGACTTCGCTCGTGACCCATGATACATGTTCGTCGGGAACGTGGTTCGGCAGATGTATTGACGTAAGGTCAGCGCCGTTGTACGAAGCACCGTGAAAAATGCCTGTTGCCTTTGTGTCTACGAAGTCGTGAACGTTGACCCCTTTGACCCACCCCAAGAGGGTATTGCGATCTCCAACGGGAGTATCCTGTAAAATTTCGTCCCGCCAGAACTCAGTCGCTGTTTGCAAGTGAGCCGGAACGAAATCGTCCGTCACCCACATCCTAGCTTGGTCTGGTAGGCGGTGAGATTGTTGAAGGCGCCGAATATTAGAGAGGTCCACGGTTGACTGTTTCGCTGATGCACTGATCAGGTCCCCGCACACTAACTGTGTGCGAATGTGTGCGGTACGTGCGGCTCTCTCGGCGAGGAACAAGGCTGCTCCCGATCCGACCTGTGACACGCATGAAATGTGTAGAAGAAAATCTCTAATGTCGGAAAACTGGGCTTGTTTCGCCATAACCGACGTATGTTGTTGGCTGCACGTGTGTGACTTATGTCGCATATGCTAGGGGAGAGTAGCACGCAAAGTGGAAATTTCGTTCACCTGGTTTTAAGGATGATTTCAGTAAATCTACATGAATCGATCCGCGCGTCAACCGCCGACCAAAGTCCAAACCAAGAAAGGGAAAGGTGCAGAGGCGTGGGAGAGTGCTCGAGAAAGATGTATATGACCAGTAATTTCAGGAGGTAATGTGGGATCACGTGAGGAAATGTGAGAATCGTTACAGAGTATATCAGTCAGGACGGTGAAATTGGTGAGTCCACATGGTGCCCATCGGACCGGAAGTACGTGGTCGGGCGACGCGTCCTCCGACGCGCATGATGCGTGGGTGGGAGCGTGCATTCGAAAGGGAAAGGGTATCATATCGGGCTGAGAAAACCCTTATGAACCTCGAGCTGAAAGAAAGAAATGTGGATTGAACCAATAGGTAACGAACTTTCACCGATGAAGGAAACTCCGAGGCGAAAAACCGAAAAACGGCCGAAAACCAACTGAACGCGAAAAACTTCACAGAAACGAGAGAAACATGTCCCGTGTCGCTGAACATCCAGATGCCCCCCGAACGACGAGAACCGGAAAACCATCAGACGAGAAAACGCGTACCGCTCAGCTAATCACTAACTATTTAGTTGGGGCAATTCTGACTTACGTGTCCCCGACCATGGCACTTATGGCATTGGACAAAGGGGCAGACACGGAACGAGTGTTCGATATCTGCCCCGGTCTTGCCGGCACGGCGGCAAGTGTTGCACAAAGCGGTCTTTCTGCTAAACCCGCTGCCACCCCCTCGGCTACTGCGGCCGCCAGAGGCCCGGTGTCGCCCCCCGGGTCCCCGGCTCGGGGTATAGTGGCCTGGCTGCCCCCCCTGTGGCTGCATACCATAAGGGCTATATCCCCCAAAATGCGGGGTAAGGGCCATGGGCTGCATGGGGGGCGGGCCCCAAGGTCCGGCCGGAGCTGGGGAATGCTTGGGTCCCCCCAGAAACATGGTGATGGCCGACAACTCTTTCACCACCTGGATACACGTGTTGAATACGTCTCACCACACAAAATGGAGTGGCAGTCGCCATAATATATTCGACGAAAACACGAACACCATCAACGGTACGAACCCGAGAGCCAGGAGTTGTTGCTTTCGGCCCGCGAGCTGTTCCACAGGAACGTCCCTTGCCCTTCCGGGGTCACGTGCCACAGAGTCGGGTCGTCTCGTGCCTCAGGTGCGTTGTGAAGGGCGCATTGTTCCTCCGTGTGTTGACGAAAATGGAACCTGGACGTTTCATGTGTAAAGATGTAACGTCTCTCCGCGATGGTACCCATAAAAGTCGTACACCAGTGTGCGTGTAATCGACACAATTAATGGTTCTGGAGTCATGGCTGTACGATTTCAACCACCGATCATGAAGGAATGCGTACGAGTGAATGGCCGGGCCGCGGGAATATCCAGAGGGGCGTGGAAACTAGGCAATGGTGCATCGGTGCATAACCCTCTCGTCGTGCTGGAAAATCTCTCAGGGCCGCAGCCGATCGTACCCCTGACGGACGTTACAAGCGTCGTACACTTCACGATGATGCCCACCTGTCTGCAATGTAGCGCGTCAGTAGGCAACCATCATCGGGATGGAGGATGCAGTAGGGTCGCATCCTGTACGCTAGGTCGAACATAAAGGGTCTGGACAGATGCTCTCCAGGGCCTCGCAGACGACCACCATACCTTCGTGAGCCCAAAGGTTGGCGATTCCCGTGATGATGCCACAGCTTAGACTCCCCACAAGATGGCCATAGGACATGTGTCTCAAAAACAGCAACCTTAGTAGGCGCACGTCAGCGGGCTGCGAATAGAGGCGCAGCGCAAGGGCATTGAGTGTAAGCAGTTAGTATTACACAAGTGGGTTGAAAACACTACAGATATTTCAATTGACTACGGAGATGTGGCGGTGCGGAAAGTGCAGCGTTGAAGTAAGTAATAGAGTTGAAGTAAATATGTAGTACGCCTCGGGGGACATGATCTGCATATGGTCTTCGCCATGTCCGCATGGATACATCTACATCGGCACTAACCTTGACCCTCCCATGTCCTTCAGGTCCAAGGGACACTCGTTCACCGCACAACAGGGGCCCCTTGTGGCGGTGATGCCGTCGAGGACGCCTGCCTTGACTAATAGCTCAACACCGTCGACGACGACGGTCTTGCGGCAAAGGTTGCAAGAGTGTTTGTGCCAGTCTAGTTGTTCGTCCATTATCTCCCGAAGGCCTCCCCAATCAATAGCTCCCTACAGCTGGCCCTCTAGCCTTGCCAAACACATGGTAGGCAATGAGCCTTGCCAATATACGGGTCGAGCTTGCAATCCCACTTTCGCGAACAAGCTTGCCAATCGCCAATCGCACGCTCGCGAACTAGCCAATCTCATGTTCGCGAACAAGCTTGGCAAGCACATCGTAGGCAATGAGCCTTGCCAATCACACGTTCCCGAACTAGCGTTGCCAATCTCAAGTTCGAAAACGACCTTGCCAATCGCCAATCGCACGCTGGCTATAACTAGCCTTGCCAATCTCAAGTTCGAAAACGACCTTGCCAAGCACATCGTTGGCAATGAGCCTTGCCAATCACACGTTCCCGTACTAGCGTTGCCAATCTCAAGTTCGAAAACGACCTTGCCAATCGCCAATCGCACGCTGGCTATAACTAGCCTTGCCAATCTCACGTACGCGAACGAGCTTGGCAAGCACATCCTAGGCAATGAGTTTGCCAAACCGTTCTTCTGTCAGGGGTTGCCAAGGTTGGTGAAGGGACGGAGGTTGGACAACCCAACGGACTCTTCAGGGGCTCGACCTTGCCGATGACCCCCCCCCCCCCTTGCCGAAAAGTCCCCAAGGGGGTTCGACCTCCACCTGTGTCCTGATCCCTCATCACGACCGGTTATGGGTCGTCGACGCCGAGGTTCATGCCATCGGGTGCAAACCACATCCATGGTCCTCGTCGGCAACAGGAGTGGCGCGCGCAAAACACAGTGTGTCGTAGGCATACAGGTGCGGCTTTGAAAGGAAAGAGCCGTGCTTGAATAATCCTAGGTGAAGCACTATGGGTTATAAGGGCATGCGTAGGGTGGGGCTTCCACAAAACATAGACGTCCTCGTATGAGCGGCACAAAAAGTAATGGTGGTTGGGGTTGGAGCGTGCGAAGGAAGAACTGCTAGCATACGTCAGCCCTATAGGCAAAACGGCGGCTCGGTGCTTGGGACGGGGTAGAACGTCGTTGGCACTGCGCGCGGGACAACCTCGGCGCATCGACGAACGAGACCTACGGCGTGACAACAATGGGGTCCTCGTCAGAAGTACCATCTTCTTACGGAGCCACGACTGCCATAGGCTTAGTTAACGCAATCTGCTTTGAAACCGCGCCCGAATTGCGCCAACACGCGTGTCGTCCAAACCATAAGACACGCACAAGTTCACATCCGTATGCCAATTGATTTTACTTTCGGCAGGATAGTAATGATCCTGTGTCCGCGAGCCCGTCGAACAAGTCTGGACGTGAGGAAAAGAAGACGGGTGATGACACGACTTCTACGGCGAGATTATCCCATGTCATGTTTCTCACCGCACTTATGAGCCTTTTCGGTGGCCCCGCCGACATGAATATCAGGGGACGAGACGGTGTGTGACAATACACTTTTGGTGACAATACGCTTTTGATGTAACGCTGTTGTCCATAGGAGAGATTGTGGGGTGAAGATGTTCGGCATTTTTGCCGGCTAACGGTCTTCCATAGGTGGAGTTGGCGTTTTCCGTGCACTTCGTTGTGTGGAATAAAGACAGATGGCGGTCTAAGGATGAGGTTTTTCCTAGGCAACAGAGCGAATAGCATCTAGAGGATATTGCGACGAAAACACCCAACCCACAAGCGTTCGTTTCATACACCTCTGACCTCTCACGTGACTTGGTCCTTGAGAAGCGCAGTACGTCCGTACGACAAGGGCGTCGTCCGATGTTCCTTCCTAACGATATCCCACCCCGCATCTATTGCTGACATACTTCAACTATATGTTCGGCTCCCGCCTGACCGGTGGTACCAAACGAAATCTACTTTCGCACGGACACAGGAAGACCTGCGAGACGTTGCACAGATATCAGACACTACCTCCATATCCGAGGACACGGTATCGTCTACGTCCTCACAGACCCTTGCGGCAACGTTACCCGCCCGGGTTTGCAGGCCAACCGCCTCACGGCTTCGGAAAAATCTTTCCTGAAGAGACTCCTCGCCAAACAGAACGGGGTCGAGTCAGGGGACTCGGAGGAAGATGATGACGAGTCCGTTGACGACCTCCAGGACGCGCGCGCCGAGCCACATGGTAAGAACCTATGGAAGATGACAATATAGAGCGAAGCTTGGAGTGAAACTCTTTTTTTTTTCGAGGTAACTTTGAGGTTCCGCCGCACGCTAGCTGCAAGCCGGGAGTACAATAATATGAAGGCTTGTGCGTCAAAAGGGGACATTTTGCGTCAGCAAGGCGGACACACTATCACACTGTCTTCGACACACGATACCTCGCTACACCTGCCTCGTGGAGGCGTGGAACTGCCTCGGGAGTCTCGGGACCGTCACAGGCAAGGGTGGAGGCCAAGGTTTCATCCAAATTTGTCACCGGTGAGCCCATAACCCGATGTGCAACTACCCGTGGGAACCAGGGAAAGGCACCCACCATTCGACATACCCTCCGTGCCAGCAACTGATGCTCTCCACGTAGTTGCCATATATTCTCCCGCTAGGCATATCTGCACCTCCTGATCTGTCTAGGGCAACGTTCCGTGTCGAAATCCGTCAAGTGTGTGTCGAGCACAGTCAAATCTTCCAGACAGAAACGTCTACGATCGATCATGGTCTACACTATGCGTACCAACAGCCCGAAAGAGCCTTGATAAAAAGGTTTGAAAATGTCTCTCATTTGTAATAAGTACGTAGGAAGGTGCATGCCAGGCAGAGAGTACAGCTGTACGTTGTTGTACTCTATGCATATGCATATGCATAGCATACCGTATACGTTGCGTGCGATGTCACTTACCGTACGACCTCGTCGCGCAACAGCCCGAAAAAGCCCTTTAAAAACGTTGAAATGTCTTTAGACTAGAAGTTGTCAGACAACTTGTACGTTCCGACTCTAGCATACTACGACCACCCCACTTTTGACATGTACGACCTCATCCGCGCGCGCCCGTGGTGCATAGTCACATCACAAGTTTAGTTGCTGTCGTCTTTCTCCTAGTGTAGATCACTTTACATCATTGTAGGGGCACTGCCCATTCGCGCCGAACACCAGCGCCATATATAAAAATAATCGTGTGAAGTGGGACATGTCATCCATTGTATGCCTAAACTTCGGCCGTATTGTAGATACCTAGAGTTTTTTAAGGCAGCGTTTCCCCGAAGTTCTCGTGTTCATTTGTACCCTCTGCTGCCGCAAGGGACTCCTATCTGGTAGTTTTTGGGGAGACCCTTATACGTGCGTTGTTGCAACTCGCTGTTTTTTGTGATGTTGGCAGGAGGAATGGAACCAGGGAGCGCGGGCACGGGTGGGATACGGGATGTCAGAGATGTTGAATCAAGTGTAGGGGACCTCGGTTCGCCGTTGCGCGGCCGCCCACTTTTCGGGAGACAGGGGTCACCGGAAACTACCTTGGGGCTAGAGGAAAATTCTGCCGAGGAATATGGCGAGGACGACGACGACGTGGTACAAGATGAACCGTCGGCTACCTTTATTGAAGGTAGGCTACAGAACATTGTACAGTCCATGCCATGGATACCTGGTGTAGATAATTGCACCGAACTTAACCTGTTCTGTAGTTTATTCCGGCGTTTGTCGATTGCTCCGTTGGGCTTCTCTTGGGTGCGGAAGGTTGTCGTTATTTTTGGCGAACATAGGTCACACGTCTAATGTCGCATGAGGGAATGTAGAAGATGCCTCCTGGATTCTCCCCAGTTCTACCGCCGACACCACCCTATCGACGACATTTTTCCCCATGTGGTCATTACCCCTAGAACTCCTTCGGGTACCCTTTTACCCCCCCCCCCTCGCCCCCCCCTCGGTGTTTGCCATCGGGATTGGGTTTTCGTCGCTTGGCAACGACGTTGTAAAACAAGCCATTTCACTTCGTGAACTCGGCAACCAGGTCACCGTTTTTTTTTTTTGGCGGTAACCATGAATGGTGGTCGAGTAGATCATGTTGTGTGGGGTGGAGAACCCTCACTCCTCGCACGGGGGATGATCGCACCATGTTGTGTTAAAATGGTCAAGCATCCTCGAGGCAGTTACACAGTGCTTACAACTGTCTCTGGAAGTGAAAGCACCAGAAAATAAATTAAGTCATACGTAGCTGTCATCCGTACGCAAGGAAGTAAGCACAAGATGCCGAACACCCTTAGCAGGGTGCAGCTCACCCTTCATGCGACTCGCCAAATACCTAACGGCGCTTCGCGCTTGGTGATGTGAGACCCTGATCCGGTGAGAACCCGGCGTGCTCCGTCCCGGCTTTGTAGGGATGCGAGGTCAATGGTCGAACGACTACGGCATGCACGACTATGAGTACACCCCCCCACCCCCTCCTCCCTCTCTGATTCACCACCCCCGTTTGAAAATTACTCCATATTGCCGTAATTTAGAAACGGGTACATAAAACTGCTGAGGTTTTGATTTCGGGATCGACTGGATTGTCTTCCGAATGTGCATCTAAGATAGCCCGGTCTAAATAGCCCCTGCCGCCCGCCGTTGCGTCTCGTCCGTTTCGAAGTGCAAGACTTGGATGACGAGGTGGAAAGCGACATTCTGGTACTGGAGGGGGTCGAGACCTTGGAAAACGCGACGGATAGTATCGGGGATAAGCAGGTCAGTTGGGGCAGAATTGAGGCCTTGATCCGCGTCGAAGATGTTTGCACTCGGGAGTTATCCCTAACAAATACCTCCACTTGGAGCAATGTTGCGCATACATGGTCCCAAATAGTGTGGCAGAAGGGATGAGTAGAGTTTATCGTCGTAAACTCATCTTCCTCAGGGAATGGCCTCTCGCACGTGGCGTTTCTTCGGGCAGTGCGTAGCCCTCGTCGTCCCTCTGGGGTAGCCTGCATAGATTGATGCGTTCTCTGTGCAGTGGTTTTCCTGGACGGAAGGATGACTTCGTTCTCGTCCCCTTGCCACTTTTCTGGACGTGCACCAACTGCAGGAAGCACACGCGGCCATGGTTCGGGGGATGGTCGACCAGCAGACGTCTCAGATCAGGGACGCGGCTGATGTTGGCGAGAAGGTGGACGCCGCCGCCGAAGGTCTTTTCCGCGAGCACTTTCCTTGGCTCCTTGACCTCGGGGTACAGGTAAAGTCCCTTGCCCCCACCCGTTTGTTTATAGCGACATCGTGGGCTTCGCTGGTGGATGCCCAAGCTAGAGTCAGCAAAGGAAAGGGGTCAACGAAGGAAGCGTAGAACTTCACCTTGGCCCTGTTCGCCAGTTGGGCGCCACGACTGAAGGCGTGGATAAATCATAAGGATATCCTGAAGGTGGCACGCACGAGTGGTAGAAACACCAAACGAACCAGGCATGAGCTGTGTGGCATCATCAACCAAGTGGATGAGGTGCGTCTCGGCTACAACTAATTGAAAATCTTCCATGAGAGCCATAGTAGGTGTACACAAGTCATAATAATGATTTGAGGCGTAATTATCTAGCACCCGAATTCCTCCACACAACAAGCTAGACCGAGTGCCCTGAGTGTGTGCAGCTAACGGCACCGGGGTGCTCCCCGAGACCCGTGTCTCTTGTTGGGGGAACAAGCCACCCACTATTGTCGTCCGTACGTTTTTTGTAGGCTTCGCCTGGCGTCACGTTCAGTCGTTTGTATCTTGTTGGTGTTCAACTGCAGTACACCCCCTTCACAACTGTCAACCCGTACACCCCCTTCGCCGCATGCTCCGGCTGTTGCTCCTGTATCTTAGTGATCACCAGGAGCTCTACGGCGTTTTTGTGCGGAAGAAGAAGGAGGCGAACTTGATCAAGTTGTCGTATCCCGACAAAAAGACCCGCGTCACCAAACCACGGGCGAAAGTGCTGTATTACATCAGCGGGTGGTTGCTCAGCAAGGTCTGGACGCACGTGAGACGGCAAAAGATCGAGGAGAGGGAGTGGGTGTCCTTTGTAGATCTCAACAAGTCCGCTTCCGCGGGAGCTGCGGTAGAGAAGGATAAGGAACTGGAGCACTTAGTAGGTGAAGTGAAGAGGAGACACGACGAAATCAACGGTGCTGGACTCCTGTTTGCCACGAAAGTGTTTTTCGAGTTCACATATGCTTTGGAGATCGGGTACTTCCACATCCTTTCTAAGCCCTTTCTGTTAGGAGCATATCTCGGAGACCTTCCGGGTGAGACGTTGCGGGTGGTCAGAGAAGCGACCGCGGTCAGGGATGCGTGGGCTGAGTGCTGCCCACCCTCCTCGGGAAGCGTGAATTTTGAGTGGGATTCCAAGGTCGCTCATGAGGTTTTCCTTTTCATCGTCCAGAAATGGCACAACTGCCGCATGGGGGACATACATACGGCATGTTAGTCAAGTGTCGTCGATTAGCAAAGACAAAGCGTCTCTCGCCCTGCGGAGTAAGCTTAAGGCCGTTGCCGGGAGTGGTGAGGTAAAGGCTGGTAGCGCGGGACCTAAACCGCAAGAAAACGCCATCTCGGTATCGCCTGTAGTCAATCTCGAGTCGCTTGTGGAATGACGGTGCCTGAAATTGAAAAGCTTACCAAGAAGACGATACTAGCTCTCATCAGAGAGGCCGGCAGTTCTACAGGCAGGATTTGGTGGCGGAAAGACGAACTGCTTGCGGCCCTGAGGTGTGTGATGGGGGGGGGCTCTGTCGGAGGGTGACGATGACATAGAAAACGCGGGCGCTGGCGCGCCTGGTAATGATGAAGGCGGTGGCGGTGGCGAGCCTGGCGGGGGTGGGTCGGATGCAGTGCGCCAGCAAAAGGTCCCGCCTGGTAAAGATGATGGCGGGGGCGGTGTCGAGCCTGGCGGGGCTGGGTCAGATGCAGAAGACGATGAATAATTTAATCAGGCTGTCTTCCTCCCTGGGCAATCTACGTCGGAAGGCATTGTGGAACAACCACTACCCGTGCGAGAGGGTATGCCATCGGGGCAGAAAAGGAAGTCTGATCAGTTGATGGTTCCGGAGTGTACGAGAGCGACGTCTAGGGGACCCCATTTCGCGGGCCTTCGTATCTAGGGTAGGAAAAAACGTTTGTGCGTTCGCGATGACGGTCGAAGGCTTGAGTGTTGAGGGGTAAGAGGCTGACGTTCTAGGACGTTCTTTTTTCCATGGTTACCAGGTTACCAAGCCGTCCAGCGATGGGCTAGAGTAAAGAACGAATGCTGACCTTTTCTTCGCGTAGGGACATAACCGGGGGAAGGGCGTAATTTGGAGGGAGGGGGGGGGGGCAATTCGCGCTTTCTATTTCCGTTCCCGTTCATTCTTATTTTTTCATGGGTGTGGGAAGGAAAGCACATTATAATAAGCAACCCCGACCACACAGGTACTCCGGAGGGACGAAATAATTTTGTGTGCCTTCTTCAAGTCGCATGTGGGACACACTTCCTTTGTTCCTGACTTGATGTTCTACGTGGTCGTTTTGCATGATCGTGTCGCAACGGCTAGGGCACCCGGCCGCAAATCTGGATTCCCCCACGGGCCCCCTGTGTTTACTCGACTTTGCGTACCCCCCCCGAAAGTATCCGGTATTGGGAAAACGGATGTCGAGGTGTGGAGGGAAATATTTTTTTGCTCACCCGTTGGACTGTATGGGGCTGAGGGTGTTTCGCACCGTGACATTGGCCCGCATCACAGCAAAAAACAAAAAGTAGATGGCAAAGCAACGCACAAGTTCCACAAAAGATAAGCAGTAGTTATTACCCAACGACAATGTCGCAAAATATTCGCAGACAGGTGCCTGCGGGAACAAGATAGTTGACACGACCACATTCGGGAAACGACAAATGATCCACACAGATCTTCCGACGTATTCGTGTAACTTAAACCACGCATCAACGAATCTAAGATAATCTGCGCTGCTTCTCGTGGCTTGTCTCCCCCACGACGCAACATGAGTTATAAATACACCTCTGATGGCGTTGTCTTCGTGGCCGTCGCCGTTCTGAGACACGCACACACACATTAGAAATAGAAAGGCAAAACATTGTCAAACGCCCCACACCTCTAATGGCGTTTTTTTGGTGGCCATCGCCGTTCCGAGACACGCACAAACAAACACACTCGAATAAGAAAGGCAAACAAATCTCAAACGCACCCGAAACAAAACCTAACGAGGGAAAAAAGCGTGGGCCCGCGACATTCCTTAAACCTTAAACCGGTGACCACCGTTATCCACAACAATAAATAACTATGAGAACGCGTGGGCCCACGACATTCTATAACCTTCAACTGCCGACCACCATTTTCCGTTTAACCCATCTACAACACACGCCGTAGCCTCTACTTCCTGGACGCCTTCGGTTTGGTTTGGTACGGGTTCGTCTTGGGGTCGCTCACGGGGGCGTTACGTTGGTGGAACACTCACTGCTCGGAAGCCCCGTCGCATACGGTGGCAACTACGTCGAACCCATTGTCTCGGTGTGCTATCGCCAGGAACCGCATGGTCCTCGTGAGCATCCGTTGGATGTAGTCAGTGCTGAGAGACCGCACAGCCTCCCGCCACACGACGAACTTGTACTCCGGGTTGCCCGTACATTGAAGGTACGCTGTTTCGAGCGTCGCAGTGGTGCCGAGGTAAGGGGGTGAGGAGAAGACGTCATGTCAGTGTAGGGGAGGGGGGCGTGTCCACAACAAGGTCTGTTTGATGTTTCGGCGTGGAACACGGTGTGCATGTTGTGCACGTGGAAATTCCGGCGACAAAGACCTGCACCTTAACTCCAAGCCCGATCACCAGAGAGATGTCCACTGCAATCTGGCCGACATTTCTTTCAAGGGAACTATGAAGCACATACCTCCACGTACTTGGTCGCAAGTATCTTGTCCAACTGCTTGTCCAAATCTCCGTCTTCATCCACCTTCCGTTGGTATACGGGGTTGAAGAACGTCGCCTCGTCCACCAACCCCGTGAATCCTCCTTCCTTCGGGGCGAAGTCGAACCCGTTCTTGCTGAGATGCGTCAAATCCCAGCTCAGAACACCGGTGAGGTCCGCCTTATCCGCATCTTGCTCGGCGGCCAGCCTGCCATACTTCTGTCATGACAGAACATAACCCATAAAAAAAAAGAAAGAAGGAAAACGTTCCGGTATTAAATACACAAGACTGGGATTTTTTCGAGGTATGCCATCTGCCGTGCAAGTGTACATAGACTCGCTCGGGGGCACCAATAGCTGCGACGGCATGCAAACCTCCAGAATTCACCAGAACATACGTAAGAGGGCCCGCGGCGGTTTTTGGACACAATTCTATGCTACAATTATCCGACAAAACCTTATCCGGAAAAACATGGCTTCAAATACACGGTGATGTACGCAATGAGTTGCGGTATGACTGCAAGCTGTAGACGCCCACTGCACTCTGCACATGAAACAGGCCCAACAACAAATGCCACAAGCACGACTTTGTATATGCCACAAGCACGACTTTGTATATGCAGTCACATCCCACCCTTTCCATGACGTGTAGGCGAAGAGCCTTGAGGCATCCACCAAAGCAAGCACACAGCACCGTAACCCCCAACCCTACACAACATTCGTACCCTGATGTTGTCGACGAGCACTCCCGTCCTCGGAGGTGCGGCCTGTGCTTCCAGCCGTTGAACGCGCCTAGGACTGGGCAAATGGATGAAGTTCCTCAGCATGTTGTACCCCGCCGATCCAGCCACCCCGTGCATGTAGAAATGGCGATTCGCAGCGTCGCCGGGTGAAATCGAAACCCTTTCGAACTCCCCATCCTGGTGTTCCATCGGAGTTGGTCCTGCAGCGAACCCAACGTGCAACACCATCAAATCGTCGTTTAAGTGACGACCAATTCTCCATTATCATCGCTGTGCAGTAAATGTAGTAGTCAGGCGAAGAAATCGCCTACCTCCATGGTCAGTCGCCGCCTTCACAAACACGTCACACTGTTCACAACAGGAGACTGAGACTGCATTCTGCCCGCACTTCCGCCCGTTTAAAGTAACCCGAGGAACGCCAACACACCTCGAAGATTGCTCGTTGTGCGCTGTCCTCCGGAAGTTTCTTCTCGAAAATCGTCCTAGATTCGGGGTCCAGCAGCAACTCATGAAGAGCCGCTTCTTGCTGGTCGTTGATCCTCACGCTTTCCTTCCGCGCTGCAAGGACCCGGTCTTGTAGTCGGATCTTCGCCTCCTTCTGGGACTCACCTCCATCGCCAAGGCGTGCATCTTCTGATCTTATTCAATTGGGCAGGTAGGGGGGCGGGGAGTCGACGGAATATAATCGTGGGCGAGCATTTACATCAGCAGAGGTGGAAAGCGTACAGTAAAACACGTGTACCATACATATAGGCGCTGCAGCAAATGCTACGTACCTTCTGTACGGTGCTCAGGCTCTCGGTCTTCGTGTTGGAGTGTGGGTCCGACTTCACAGTCTGGGCCAACAACTTCTGAACCGATTTGCGAAAAAACTCTTTACACTCGCCACACCGAGCAACACCTCCCGATTCGCCGTGGTTGCTGGCCAGCCACCCACAAGCCTTGGACCATAGCACAGCCTTGTCCGCTACCCGGACCAAAATGCCAGAAACACCCTTAGTTCCCGCCAGGCACCCTGCAACGGCACCGCGTTCCCACCGACCCTCATCTCCGAACGACATATCGGCAGATGCCTGTGAAGTACGCTGCGTTTGGCGGACGAGACTGACTATGGAAGCCGCCTGCGACCTCGGCGGTCACAACATCATCTTATGCAGTCTTGCGTACTTCTGATCACTCGCTATTTTTTCATATTCAAATTTGATCGGAGACATGAGACATGTTGCCCTGCCGACCACCCGCTACGTGATCGTGGACGTTTCTGTCTGAAAGATTTGACTTTGCTCGACACACACTGGACAGATTTCGACACGGATTGTTGCCCTAGACAGATCAGGAGGTGCAGATACGCCTAGCCAGTGAATATATGGGGCAATCACAACTACGTGGAGAGCATCAGTTGCTGGCACGGAGGGTATGTCGAATGGTGGGTGCCCTTTCCCTGGTTCCCACAGGTAGTTGCACATCGGGTTATGGGCTCACCATTGACAAATTTGGATGAAACCTTGGCCTCCACCCTTGCCTGTGACGGTCCCGAGACTCTCAAGGCAGTTCCACGCCTCCACGAGGCAGGTGCAGCGAGGTATCGTGTGTCGAACAGAGTGTGATAGTATGTCCGCCTTGCTGACGCAAAACGTCCCCTTTTGACGCACAAGCCTTCATATTATTGTACTCCCGGCTTGCAGCTAGCGTGCGGCGGAACCTCCAGTTTCCAGTTTCATTCCAAGCTTCGCTCTATATTGCCATCTTCCATTGCCTCCACATGACCTTCCTACTTGGAACTTTGCTGGTGAAACCCCGCTTGGCCTGCCTACTTATCGTTTGCTCGATCTTGCCACACCCTGGCGCTGTATCATCTTCAGTAGTCTATGTACGCTGGGTGCCATCTCATATTGTGTGATATAAGCTTTTAACTGGGTTTGTGTTCTGATGTGGAGCACTGCGAACCAATCACAAGTGAGGTGTGGTTCTACTAGCAAGGGTGGTTCTGCTAGTACGTCGGGTCCAAGGGATGATTGGTCAACGCTGTCGATGCTCGTGAAGCAATCACGGGTCTCTGTTGTGCACAAGAGGTAGAGTCGAATGTGGTCTCTTTTAGTCAGCCTAAGGTGAACTCCTGATCAGCAAGAACACCTATTGTAACTCAACCGCTTATCTATCCAATCTCACGAGGCTGTCCAATGCTATGCTGAGGCGTCACACTCAACACAACGCTATGGGGACGGCACTCACGCTCACCTAAACCCTTGTCGACGCTATGCCAAGCGGCTTCTGATCAAAGGGGTTGGCTGTAGGAGCTCTGAAAACCAGAATAATCCAAATACCTTGGGAACTCCGGGAAACGGGGATAACTTCAACCATACGGTTTCAATCTGCGGAGCCTCCTAAAACAATTATTGCAGATGTCCATGCTCACAACACACCCGTTTTTTGTTTCCGTTGACGTCGGATTCATCCACAAGCCTGAATGCATGTGATTCATCACGACCTGCAGCCGGTGTAACTGCCCGGGCTTCTCTTACCTACCTGTGGCTGCTCATGAACTACTGCTGTATACCCCTTCCACAGCATTCCGGACCAAAGCTACAATACACGGGGGGGAGGTCTAGTGTATGTACACACGGCACATGTCGTTGTGCGTGGATCAGCATCTGTTCCCGAGGAAATTCTGTTCTGTTTCGGCACAGCGGTAGCTGTTGTTGTTGTTGCGTCGCCTCCTGCTCTGGTGCAACCACACCTTTATACACCCGCTCGACGCTACACAACCGGCAGACTTTGTAACCTAACCATGTCATTGAGAGTTTCTGCAGTACCTCTTTGGGCCTGCGGTTTTGCTGTCCGGTCTCGATCGCAGGGAGGAGAGTTACCGTTCTCCCATGGATATCGGAGATGCGTGTGCGTGCCACTCCCTGCGCGGCTTCATGCAGCGCCCTTTCTATACTGCCTGCCGTACGTACTGCTGTAGCATTCTAGAGCAGTTCTCCATCTTTCCCACGCTACATGCAGTTTGTGTTGTCCAAATCGGACGTGGTATTTTGCGTGTAGCATATGTAATCTACACTGCTGTACAACGTCTCCTCAATTCTGCTGGAAGCCCTACCATATAATGTACCTGTCGCGGCGCCACAACACCCGAGAGGTGCTGCTTCTTCTGCTGTCTTGATTTTACTGTACAGCGCAACCACGACATTGTTTGAAGTATGCTTGGGTAGGAACTTGTTTGCTCCCACATTGATTTGTGTGCTCGCTATTTATTCGTGTACTTTATACCGTCCACATGACGCACATCATCGGTTCTGTGTGTTGTACTCATCTACAGTAGTACCTGTGACGTGGGTATACTGCAGTTCCTCCGCCGGTCCAAAGGGTTGTGCTGGTATCTTCGTGTGCGGGCCGAGGTTCTTGTACACAGCTTGCATGTAAAGCGTGTTCATGTCCTGTTCAAGATACTCCTCGATGCAATGCTGCACACATGCCTGATTCGATGTGTCTGAGCCCCTATCCGCACTACTACTGGGGTGAGTATCGTGAGTATGACCGAGCTGGTGTGTCTGCAATACCGTGGATTTACGTATCTATTCTGGACCGGTTTGCACCTACAGCAGTACCGCAGTGGGCGCATGCATGTTTGCCTGCTCTTGCAAGGCTTTGGTGTGAAATGGGGCGAGAGACGAGTTGAACTCTCGACTGGTAGTTCTCTCCTACCGGTCTGCTCGAAACAAGGAATTATTGAACTTCGGTTTGAATTCGTGACATCAGTTTGAGAATTTTCTCGTGGCGGCAAGTAAACCCCTCTTTTGACTTGAGGATTGGAATCAAAAACACCTTTTTATTGCCACCTTTCCCAAGTCCTCTTCAAAAAAGCACGTGTCTGGAGCAGCCCCAAACGGCCTCAGGCGAGCTTCTGTGGTGGTGAGCACGTACCCTGACATGTACTGAGGGGTCACCTTAGCTTGGCAGTTGCGTTGGGTCCGCCGAGAGATAGAGAAGCAACTCACCGGTGGTCAGTTGTCTTTTAGAGAATAATTATAGTCTAAGCAAGAAACGTGGTGTTTGTCTGTGTGTCGCGTGACCTCTGCCTCTCCCAACAACCACACACCCTCACCTGCACTGCTGCACATCCCTACAGCCCACCCATACATAGACGTGTTGAGGAACCAAACGTGAGCACTCCTCCCCTCCTCGGGCGCTCGTTCCTTCACAGTAGAGCTGCTTTGCGGCCGTTGTGTGCACGCGCATCCAAGAGAGCTCGCTGCTGTAGTACCCACCCGCTCTTTCTTCTTTCGGAACGAAGAAAAAAAAATCGCACGCATGTGTGTGTGTTCCCCCCAGCCTCGTCCGGGCGGCCACCGCCGTTAACTGCTAGCGGCTGATGATGTCTTTGGTTGTATTGTTCGAGGTTAGGTAGAAAGTGCAGCAGCATCCCAACGCCCTTTCTCGTGCTGCTCCGTCCGGCCCCAGTCTGAATCGACTCCTTCGACAGCACCAAACAAGGAGACGCCCTTCAAAAGAGAGAGAGATGGAGAGAGAGAGAGAGAGAGAGAGAGAGAGAGAGAGAGAGAGAGAGAGAGCCCTACCCTAGCACGGAGGCGTGGCACGTTGGCACGACCACTGCAGCCACCACCTACTCCCCGACAGTCTGGACTTAGGCAGTCCCATCGGTATACCTACCTTCGAAGTACAGTAAGGATGCGTGAGAACGCACGGGGTGCAGCGGTCGTTTGATACATTTCACAGTTTCGGACGGGGGCTCCAAATTTGCTGAGATAAGGAAACAGATTGTGAGATAAGAAAGTTTCCTGGAAACTTCCTGCAGGCGAATATATTTCGAGTTAAGGCGGCTTCATGTGATTGGCTGTGGGACGACAGTCACCCAACCAACTTCCCATGTTCGCAGGTACTGCTGTTTTTTGTGGTGCGCTGCGTGACAGCTGCACCCTGATCACAGCGCTCCCACTGCTGTTGAATGTGCGTGCATGCGTGTCTGTGTTGCCCCCTTAACCCCAGCACACGAACCCGCACCAGAACAGCGACAGGAAGTACACATTATGCCCGGCAGCCCTGACGAAGTGCTGTGTATCGCATTTCAAGCGTTGGGGAGAGGGTGATGTTTTTGGGGCGGGGGCACATCGAAGTCAAACACGCTCTCTCAAGTAGAAGCAGAGAATACTCTTTCTTGCGGCGCGTCACCAGAAGGCAACAGCAGCGTGCTCTTCCTCCTCTCTGCCCTTTGCTGGCGGTGCTGCCACCTCCTCTACGTCGTCGGTTGCTGCGGTTCGTTCCGGCGCTCTTTCTCCCCCTTGCCTCAACCTCTGTGTGTGACGGGCGCGTGTTGCTGACCTAAAGCCGCGCAACAACCAACCCCAACTTGGTTTTCTGACCGTGCAGCCTCCCCCTTTCTGTGTTGGTGGCGCGCCAACTCCAGGGCATTTGCGCTGGGCGCTGGGTTTATGTGGGCGGCCGCTGGACATGCTCTTGCAGACTGTGTGTGTGCGTGTGGGTGGCGCCTGATGATGTGTTGTGTGTGGTGCCTGATATTATGTTATTTCAAAGAAAGCTGCTAAATCGAAAAGTTGGCAAAATTTTCCACAAAACCAGCCTCCCTCCGCTGTTAAATCTGATTATTTTTCCCTTATCTTGGGTTCTGGCGAGACTGTCAGGAACGATCCTCAGAACGATGGCTTAACTCAAAATATATTTCCTTATTTCAGTTTTTTTTTGGTTCCGAAACTGTCAATTATTGGTTCTTGGTTTTTCATCGCATAGAGTGGGTAGATGCGATATCAACAGGTACGTGCGATACTGAATAAACAATAAACCCGACAGCAGCAGTCCCGCGAATGACGCCTACTCCATTCACGATACAGCGAAGTACCTCCTGCTCAGCGAGTGCCCTGGAGCCACTAAATAGGGGCTCGGTATCGGTGATACCGTGCGATACCACCGAACCCCGTGCGATTATCGAGTAATTGACTTGGTTCTCGTTTTTTTTTTCGCCGCAATCAAATATAAAAGCGATTGTTCTTCCTTTTTCCTCAAATATAAAAGCGGTCTGGTTTTC